CAGAGCGTTCTGGCCACAGTGATTCATGATCCACCCGAAAAAGCACACAGATGTTCAGCACTTCCAGAAGCAGCTTCTGCAGGCATGCTCAGCAATTTGTCCCTCCGGACTGGGGCTACTTCAAATACCCCGGAGCACTGGACGTCTGTTTTGGTACATCCTGAAAGCCTCATCTGAGCGTGCTCCCAAAGTACCCATGCGCTCGCATCCTGGATCAGCTTTCAATGTGCGTTTCAACCATATCCACACTGGATGTATACCCAGAACTGTGTGCCCATCTCCGAGCTCAAATCAATTGAGGATTGCTTGAACATCTGAGTGGCAATAACATGACGTCGAATGAGTCCATGGTCGAGATGAATATAAGAGTCGACACTCATGACTGTGCAGTCTTCCCTGCGACGATAGCTAAAGGTGGTTCACCTGTTTACGCTCCAGGAGCAGTGAATCTCGTGAAGTCATCACTGACAATCTCGTGAATTTCATCGTCATGACACCTGGCAAGGTCTGCTTGGATCTTCCAACTGCACCGATTTTTGTTGGTCGAACTTTATCTATCGGTTTGGCATAAAAACTGATCCAACAGGTCAAGTTTGCAGGGTGGTTGGCAGATATCTGGACCAACTGGTGTGCCAACTGGTCCAGTTTGGCATCAATTGGGCACAGGGTGGTCTAGGTCTAGGTGTGAGTTCGTCGACTTGCTGCAGATCTGGAGCTCGAAGAGCTGGCGATTGGACTTCAGAGCTGGAGGGCTTCATCGGTGTGCTGAGGTGTTTTCATCTGCAGTTGCAGTCCCTCACTTCTGAGTGAAAGCAACTCTGCTTGGAATTGCCCTTCTGCCGGTCGTGTTCCTCAGGTCCCTTTGCTGGGCTGATGTGGTGTGGTCTGCTATTCTTGTAAGAGGCATGTGATCTGGAGGAGCTTTTGATAGCTTACGGTACCCTGAATCCTTCTGGCTGTGTTCAGTTTGTTCTCTGCAATTTGCCGCCATGTTGTGTCTGCATCTGTCATATGGTCTTCGAAGGTTTGAAAAACCTCCTCTCAGCTGTCATCTTTGGCCCTGGTGTAAAAAGACCTTAGTCAGTTCGGTAAAACTCCTTATTGTTTTTGGTGGTTGGAAGCCTAGGGATGGAATTTTTCTTTGAAGTGCACTATGGCCCCCGTAAGGAAGAGCTTCTTCCTCTACGAACAGGTGGGGTTCACCTTTTGGAATCCACCGTGCTCCAACACAAGATCCCAACCGCAGGATCTGAATCAATCCAGCTTATGGTGGCAAAAAATCACATTGGGAGAGGTCAAAAATTGTTGAGAAAACATAACGGGGAAAAACCCTTCCGTCAACCATAGACTCTGGACCAGAAACGACTTGTTCGTAGTTCGTACCCTAGACAATGACATCATTACATCATGACACAAACAGAAAACAGGTATCAACACGATTCATAATAGGTGTTATGATCTTGTACGAGCTCGAGTGTCGTGTATGGTGGACTCCAGGCTCCAGGTAGTCCATTTTTTGCCCATCGCATCTGAACCTCGAAAATGCCTAAGGTCAAGGCAGAAACCCACTGATCTCGTGCTGGAGAGTAGCATTCCACCTTGACAGAGATCAGCGGCTGTGGCGGCGTGTTGGGTGCTCAGAATGTCCACCACTGAGTCCCCAGGGAGGTTCACAGGCTCAGAGTCTGGGCTTTTGACCCTGACAACGAACGGGTGAAATGGACCGAAGCAACATGCTTCGGGGCCGAACGGGTCGCCTCCAGGTTTTCAGAGGGAGATTGCCACAGCTGTGGACAGTAGGCCGGAGACCAGCAGTAACACCAGCAGGGCGGACACATCTTAAGAAAGAATTGAGAACCCCTATGAATTGGGACAACTGTTTGGGGAAAAAAAAAGGAAACACTATCATATATATAGTGAGTGAGACCTCAGATGGGTGGCTTTGCAGTCGTTCCTCCAAGTTCATAGCATCAACAAAGCCAACGGGCTTTGAAAAAAACGTCTGCATCTTCCAAAGCCCGTCTTCTGCATCTTCCTGGGTATAAAAAAAGGTATGCTTTTCGGGATTCAATCCATGACTGAAATTACTGGTGGTTGTGGTTGGAATCCTAGGGTCTAGAGTCGGACGATGAGCTGAATCTCCAACCCCAGGGATCCAGTCGTAACTTCTCCAAAGGTACGACTGGACTGGACCCTCCAAACCTACATAACAGTGTCATCAATAACCTTTCGGATTTCATAAATCGGATTTCACAAGGCTTTCTGCAAAACAAAGTTGAAGCAACCCAAACACACAAAATTAATAGAGACTTCGGCAGACTGCTTTCATAAACCTGTTGCAACAAATCAAAGCAAACAAAGAAAGCAATCTCCAAAGCAAGGACACCAAACCATGAGCTTTGCCCAGCACCAGGTTCTTTCACAAAATGTTTGATCCAAGGGGTCTTTAACGTAAAACTCTTTGACATCACTTGCCGCACAAATTTGAATCGTTCACCAGCTTTCACCAAACAATGGTCACTACAATAACAAAAATCAACATTAGCTAAACGTAGGGTTCACGACTCTAAAGATGTCTATAGAATTTAACAATTCTAAACTCACAGATATCCAATTGTGAAGATGTTGTGATATCGACATTTCCAAGTATTTCTAGAAGATATCATTCACTGTTCTATCTGGACCCTCAACTCACTTGCGTTCTCTTTAAATCACAAGCCCCAACGACCCATGGTGGCGCAACCACGGATCGTACATTCATCACCACATGACGGGAATAAAAACGGCGATCCCCAGTCAAACGCTAACATGGACCCTGTAAACCACTGGTTTGTATAGTGGAAAGCGGTCTTTGAGGGTGCCTCAGGGTGCATGTTAGGTTTTGGGGGGGAGTGTACTTGCTTTTGGAGGGCTCAACTCTTCCTGTCCTTTCCGGATGTTCTGGGCTTGGCCGAGTCACGCTGCGCAACGGTCCGTCCGCACCGCGCCCTGGCAGGGTTCGTGCCCCCGAAGGGTTCCGACAAGCCCTACAGGACAGGCTCCTGCCCTACATCCTCAAAAGGTGTAGGACAGAACCCCCCCCCAAACCACTCAACTCAACCACCTTAACCGAGGATGCGGTTGAAACGCGTTTCAAAAGAAAGCGCCAACCACAAAGGAATCAAAGATGGAAATTGCGGATTCTACGTGTTAAATATGCCCCCGTCCCCCCACCTTTGGAGTTGACCTGGTTTTCGAATCCAAAATCCTGAGCAAAACAATCTCCAACAATCAATAATAATATTGGAATATTTGCCTACATTGGGGTGATATTAAGATGTCTTGAGGGTCAACATATACTGCTCCTCGGTGAGTTGGTAGCCTTCGAACATAGTCGAACATACACCCTGGATGGCACTGGATGGTCTGGGGAAGGGGAATGGTTCTTCGTTCCAACTCCATGGTGGGGCACCAGGCCTTGGGACGTAGTCGACCCGTTCGTAGCTCGGAATTAATTGGTACAGTCGTACATCCAGTACATGTTTTATAGAGGAGTCAGTACAACATTGTAAAGGTACTTTGGAGGGTCTACGCACGGTTTTCGGATGCTTTCTTCTTGGCCAATTGATGCATTGCCTGCATGGTCACCGTCTTCGACCGGCCACCAGACCGATCGGATTCGCAGCTTCGCTGCTTTGTCGGTGGATCCAGGGACCGCACCCCTGGCACACCGAAGGAAGACCCATCCACGTCCACGACGGACCCGGTGACGGATCCTGCGCCGGCCTTCGAAACCAAGTGTCCAAGATGTCTATGTCCCAGAGGGTGGCCGTGGATCCTTTAAAACCAGGAACCGATTTCACCTGCCAGGTCACCACCTGCAACTTTGGGTCGTCTACATGTCAGCCTCTCAAAGCAACGGAGACCTGGAAATCGAGGTCGGGTGCTGCCTGTTTCGGGCACTGTGGGGACTGGCCTGCGATCGCATAAATCGCCTCCCCGCAGGCCACGGCCGAACAGACCTCGGGAGACGGGGCACACAAAAAAAAAAAAGAAACTGGAGCTCACAGGTCAGGTACCTTGGAAAATGGGTACAAATACCATCAAATACCTGTTTTTAGAGGGTTATGTCCCAAACATTGAGGAAGTTGGGGTGGTCTCGACCCCCGAAATCCCACAGTTTTGAGGGTCAGAGGGTTGTTTGGAGCTTCCATGGTCGGACCTTCGAGCCCAACAAAAGGCTCGCGCACCCGAACCAACTGCTACATGTTGAGTTCGGTACCAACACCCTGAGGGTCTACACCCGGCAGCGTTTTGGCTTCCTTCGTTTCGAAAGGTCCAACCAGCACCTCTTCCGGCCCCTTTCAAGCCCTATGGATCCACATACCGAACCTCAGAAGGTATGTGGGCTCTCCAATGCCTACATAAATAGTCTCCCTGCTCACCGTACCTCAGGTTCGGTATGTGGATCCATAGGGAAGGATGCTTGACACCCAAAAACCTGCTTTTGTGGACCCGGTGCACCTTCCCTCCTGGTCCGGATGTTCTGAGGGCTTTCTTTCACATAGCGACGGGTCCGATCCTCCCAGGCATAGATTTGAAGATGTTCCCTGGTCTTGGAAGACGCATGGAAAAGAGATATGTTATACAAACCGAGGTCGGCATCCGAGGTCGGCATCCAAGGTCCTTTTTGCGACGCATCGTCTTGGCGCGTGTTCTTTTTTCAAAGTGTCTTGAGTCATCTCCGACGGTCGGGAGAGGAGAAGACCGAGCAAATAGACGATACGTGAACGTACAAATATCCCAAATCCACACCATCCATGGAACTGGAATCTTTTCCCTATAAGTCATTTGACCTTTTAAACATCTTGAACCATCTTTAAGTCAAACACCAAAATATATATAGGGCAACACTTTCCAGTCCCATGGATTGTTAGGGAAAGGAACGATATAAACCTCACCTTTGGCAGATTTTACAGCTATAGGCCATAGGCTCTTGGTAGCTTTAAGAATGACATTGGGGCCGTGGAATCCTTTCCCCAGGCACGATTAATGGGACTGGAATGGAATATTTACCGATCAGGCCAGGGATGGTTGTTTCACAGGGTTTTTCTGGGGCGGCATATATGACAGACATCGGTTGTGTCTGGGTTACATTCTGGAGGACGACTCTGCACTGTTCGTCACACCTTCAGACGGAGGAAGGCCCATCTTCTTTCTCACTTCCTGCACCAGCCGCGGCAAGATCTCGCCAGCACTGCCTGAAATGGTCAAAACCGGACCGTCGTAGGGAAGAAAGAGGGACAAAAGCGACACACCATGCCTCAACACTCTATACATTGGGTGGTGTCAGGGGGCAATGTCAGTATAGATACCTGCATATCACATCCCCTACTTGGTGTCTCTGGGTCCTACTTAGGATATGAGAACACCATTTGGGAGATTTGGGGATGGCCGGTGAAACCATTTTTTTTTTAAATATAATCTTCAAGCTCTATAGAAACCTTCTTCCTCCCCAACAACACCATGTTCTATCAATCTCCGCGGTGGTGTCTTTGTTTTTTTGAAACATGGATAATCAGTTATATTACCATTATTACCAGAATCAATAGCTGCTGGCCATTGAGGACACACCTGAGCCTGGTTCAATAACTTCATCCCAACTTCATCCCTGGTTCAATAACGCCTAAGCCTAAGCCGCCTCAAGGGCCAACAGCACACAACAATAAGGTTTTTTGGAAACAAAGGGCAGAATCTCCCAAATGCAAACAACTGCAACTTCTGCCCAACCCCCCCCCACGTCTGCTGCGACATGCAGCGTTCTATTGGTTGTTCGTTTCTGCTATGGAACACGGGCTCCATACAGGGTTTGAAACTGTTTGAAAACAGCTTTGAAATAGAGCTAAGACCCCTCATTCAGAGGATTGCCCTCAACTGAACAAACCCTAGATTATTAAGGAACTCAACGTTAGAGTCTACCTGGCCTCAGATTTCTTGTTCAAACACTTGGGATCAATATTCTAGACTCTATCATCGACAAAATGTGGATTTCTTATCACAAGCCTCAGCCGTATAGTGGGCGGATCCTTTTCCAAATTGAACATTCCCCAAAAAGACAAGAGCGCATACAGGGGACAAGAACACCCAAGCACGGACAAAGGCACCTTTAGAGGCCATGGGCAATGGCAAACATTTCTGCACCTTAAGTGTTTGTCCATAATTTGATCCCTTCTACGGGAACTTCCCCCGGCGAATCTCGAGATATTCCATCACCGGAATCCAGTCGCCATGACCATCCCTTTCTCAACACTTCCGGACGGTCGTTGGCCTTGCAGGAAAATGTGCGCCTCGGATGGCAGTGCCCTGGATGGTGTTGGGCGCACCCCAGAGTACGTCACCAGAATGTAAGGCTTTTGTTGGAAAGAATTCGCAAACATTCCCAAACCCTATGCGACTGGACCCCAAATGCCAAACCATCTCGATGCAGGTAAATGTACCACAATGGAGTGTCTGGGATTGATATACGGGCAAATGATGAAGAGAGGCCTGTTCTCAGGAGAAGAAACGTTGGAACGACCCTAGCTTTGGAATTGTCAATTATTGTTGCCAGCTCTGGATCCAGTGGACAGCACTTGGAAGTGGAATATCAAATCTGATCACAAAAGAACACCATATTTAGTTGGACGGTTCATAATAGATATATAAGATTACCTAGCCACCTGGTTGATGCTGAATACCAACAACAGAAATACTGCCACTTTAAGACGGTTCAACATACACTAACTGAACTTGAAATCCTGGTTTGAGGCCTCCCAAAAAATTGCTTAAACCTGAGAAGGTCGCTTTGAAAAAGCTGGTGCACCGAAACTGCTTCGCTGCCCTCCCGCTCGAGCAGCTGCAGCTTGGGCACATCCGACGCGCCCGACGTATCCTTGTTGAGGATGATCAACCTTGCAAGGGCTAGCTAGCGCAACGCTGTTGGGCACTCCGATAGTTTAACTCATCGACCTGAATTGTTACAAATAGCTGCATCAATACTCATGAGCACCTCCCTAATTGTACAGTCTGCACGCAGTTTAGATATGTTTATAGATATTATTCCTTCTACTCTATGTGTCTCACCAAGCACGACCCGGTGACAAAGGTCACTTCCCCCGGTGTATATGTTTAAGTCCTTCCATTTCCCTTCTGCACGTAGCATTTTAAATCACACAGTAGGTTTAGGGCCAACGGCCAATCAAGACATCGCCGAAAGGGGCTATGGCAATGAACACAAGTTGGTTTCCGTCGTCGAATCGTCGAACTGGAACCCCAAAACCCGATGGGGTTCATTACTTCTATGTGGGCTTCCGGACCCTCAACCACATCAGCTTCCCAACTTCCCAACTCCCTAGGGCCCTAGGGATCCAGGCACCTACATAACAGTGCCTCCCTGCTCACCTTCTCAAAGGGTCTGTGCCCTAGGGCTCCAACCATTTTCAGGTGGTTAGACCATGTTAGACCCTCCTGGCACCCGGGCCCCCCTGTCCCACCGAACCTCAGAAGGTAGTTGAAGCCCCAGGGATGGATCCTACAGGCTTCACTTTGCCAGATGTTCGACCAGATCTGAAACGACAGGTCAGCCGCGTCTGCCCAGGCACGTTCCAAAACGCCACTTCACCAGGCCGGGTACCATATTGGCGGGTGCCACCTCAGAAAAAGCGATCTTGCCCTACCTTAGAGTAGGGCTGCTGTCCCACCTCCGCAAAGGGTTCGGCGGTGGGGGTGAGTGCCAGGGGGGTCTGTCCCTACCTTTGGAGCTGGTTGGAACATGTTGCCCTGAAGGACGGCTGGATACGCTGGATATAGGCTGGATGAAGGACACTAATTCGTCAGGTCAAGACCAATATAGCTGGATATAGCTGGACAGCTGTCAGGTCCATCTCTTGTTTTTTGAAAAGAAGACCGTATGGCATCTGAAAAAGCAAACCTATTCTGAACAAGTGTCGCACGGGTTTTCTCGCAATTCTTGGGAGGCAGAACTGCGCCAGAACTCTGTTTTGTGTTGTCTTTTGACAAGTGAGGGCAGCAGGTGGGGAAGGACCTGGAAGGAGTCGGGCAAGTTTCTTTCTCAAGATGTACAATTTGAGCTCAAACATCCAGTCTTGAAAACAAAACAGGTGGCCCCCTGGTCCCACCTACCTAGCTGCAGTGCTGCTGTCCCGTTACTCCTTTGTTTCATACTTGTCTCCTCGTTTGCCGCTTTCTTGCCCCAGTGCGATACTGGTCAAATGAGTCAGACTGGAACCTCGATGGCGCAACAACTCAACCTGTAACAGGGCACTAAACTCTGAATTCCTTTGGAATCCACTCGTACCGAACCTCAGGTACGGTGAACGTGTTATCTCCACTGTACCGTTAGCACGTCGCAGCGGCGTACCGTTGTACCGACCCGAGACGGGATCCATGGGATCGATCCACGGGACCCTCGCTTTACAGGAAGGTACGCTACGTCCAACCAGGTCTATCCAGTTATAAACAGGACTTCCAACTAGGCAAGATGTCCGCCTTCATAAATGAAAAGTTTAATGAAAAGGCATCTTAATTCTGCAAAGTTGGAATAACCATCATTGCGATTGTCAAGAGACAGTGTGAAGCTATGAGGCAGTTAAGTTCGCTTCTGAACGTGAAATGCATGTCTTCTAAGCTCAAAACATCGCATAGGGTAAGCTGACAAGCTGCACCCATTCACTTTCCCCCCCATACACAGACACGCAGTAGAGAAAGATTGACTCACCTGTTTGGGAGTTTGACTAAACAATCCTGTCAGTTCAGGTTGCTCTTGTCCTCCAAACCCCCTGCCGAATCCCAGATCAAACATGCTCAAAATGTCCAAATTGCCATGCCGTTGCACCGTTGTTCTGGGAGGTCTGAGGTCTCCCTATTTCAATACACACCCGTAAGTCTTCACCCTACCTCCCCCCTTACAGCCGACAAGCAGCACATCAGTGCCAACACTCCACACCCTGAAATGGGAGTAAAATAAAATGGGCCATGCATGGGTTCTAGTGGTCAACCTCCAAAAAACAACGTGACCGTGCATCAACGACCAGGTGGTATGAGCACTGTATGAGCCTCGCGACTCGCTACGTCTCTCGTCAAACGTCTCGCGGGACGACGGTCAGCCCGGTGCCAGCTCAGCGACGTTGAGCCCGGTGCCCACCACCAAGCACACAGGAGATCCCAGAACCACGCCCCAGGAAGCAGCCAGTGCGCCGGCGGGCAAAGCCTCGCCAAACATCCTGGGTCTGAAGCCGAGCCCTCCCCTTTCGACCCGCGCCGTCCCGCCGCAGTCTCTTCCGAGACGAGGGATGGACGAGGTCAGAGGGGTCGAGACGGGGTCACTTTGATCTCGTCGAACTCGGTGGAACTGGGCGTTTTTCATAAACATTGGGAAACCAAATACTCCTTCACAGGCCTTTCCCGGTCCAGAAAAAACACATTTGAGACCTCTCTGACTGACGCTTTGATAGGTTCGGGTCTAACCTTCTGAACGGAGGGTCCTGGATCATGTCTAGGGGGGGAAGTACTAGATCTCATGGATCCACTGACACCCTCTCAGAGGGTGACGTGTTCGACACTTTTGCAAAGGCACCCCAGAAAATTGCACATGACCCAGGATCTGCAGCAGGGCCTACTAAGGGCAGCATGATTACTAATTGCTTATGTACTGTCTTTTGTGTTTTTGTTTGGTTGGTTGGTTGTTTCTTTGTTTGTGTGTTTGTTCGTTTAGTTTGCTTTGGCTGGTTTGTTGGCTTGTTTTGTTGTTTGTTTGTTAGGCTGTTTTGTTTCGTTTTGATTGGTTTGGGTGGTGTGTTTTGTTTTGCTGTGTTTGTTTGTTTTTGTTTGTTTGGTTGGTTGCTTCTTTGCTTGTGTCTTTGTTCGTTTGGTTTGGTTTGGATTGGCTTAGTGTGGTTTGATCGTTTTGTTGTGACTTTAAATTAAAGTAGCCAAATCTGGATTGCCGAATATATTAAAAGAATGGTTGGCCACGAATCCGGACATCCAGGGTGCCCTGGGAATGTCTCGTCAGGATGCAGCAGGTGCATCGTGTTCGACTTCCCCCACCGGGACGTGGTCGCACATGTCCCGAGCCACGTGATGTCCGGCTTCAGCACACCGTTGGTCTCGGGATGTCGCGGCACCCAACGGTCCTGCGCCGACAGGTGCGCCCTATAGTCACCCTGACAAGGCTTGCTGGTGGCCACTGGAAGGACATACCCCTATACGATAGAACTTGAGAGATGTTTTCTTTGGCCTCAGTGACGTTTCCGAAATCAGGTACAGACACATAATAGAGTTAAACCCTGTCAAACCATTCTTTTTACGCTCTCTATTACAGTCTTTCACTCTCCAAAAGCCAACCTTCCCCCGCTGACGCCATTCAACACATCCAAAGTCCTTTTCAACGTCAACCACACGACCAAAGTTCCCCCGACACCCCACGATGCGTCGCGTGGTCCGTGGTGATGTCGCTGCGAAGGGTGCTATCGGGCTTCCCCTCGCGCGAGGCCACCCACTGACCTCGGATGCATCGAATCGGTTCCCAACGTGGTCCAGGCCAACCTCTGCTGGTCCAGTCTGGTCCTGAACGCCGAAGAAAACGCATGTTTTCTCATGATCAACTTCAGTGAAATGAGGCCCGTTCCTGACCTGCAGGAGCAGGGACCTGCTCCATGCAGTCAGGACCTGAAAGACGAGATCTCCAGCTTGAAAGTTGAGACTGTAAAATACAGCCTGGATGTCAGATGTCAAACGGGAATGTTGAGATGTAAACTACAGCAATTATCCCATCCCCAATTTGATGCCAAATGATTGAACATGTTTGGACGAATTGGGGATGGGGCAAGGCAACTGATAGCCAGCGATTCAACTGCTCGACAGGTAGGATTTCCTTCCCTCACACATGATGATTGATCTGATTGATGGGGAAGCACTCCAACTCCCACATTGCACACGGCCTCTTTAGGAAGCTGACATCCCCCCTTTCCCTGATTGGCCGGAAGACTGCTGGAACACTCACCTGTATTTGGAGGAAGGATTAGGAAGGTTGAGTCCCTACCAGGCTTTCACACACGTTCATCTGGTTTTCAGAACTCTATCCCAAGGGCTACTCCTGGGCAGGGAGAAGAACAAGCAGACTTCGTCCGGCCCCTGAAAGCAAAGGTCCTCTAATGTTTGTTGTGAAAAAAAGGGCGGCCCACGTGGGGTTCTGAACCTCCTCATGATCATTCTGAGAAGAGCGTTATTTTCTGACCATCCCTAAGAATCATTGGACCCTCCTATGGAGGGTTTGGACCCTGCATAGCAGGGGTTTGGACCCTCCTTCACCTTTGAGGGTCCTTGATTCATCTTTCAAAACCGGCCCGAAGTTCTTTCACAGCTGCGCAGGATCTCGGATTGTTTCACCTCCGGGGCGAGGCTCGCAGCTGACGGTTCCATGGCAGCGACGACGAGACAGGGACAGCAAACGGAGTAAAGGAACTCAAACCGACTTGAACAAAGACAAATTAAGTATAGGGTTATAGGGTCATGGTTTTGATTGATGATTCTTGGATATGCATGATTGGTTCCTTTGACTCTGTTCCAAAACACATGTGATCGTCCTCTTGTCCAACACTGTTCCACGTATCGCTTGTATCGCCACCTGGCTCGACAGAATGTATCGCCATCCAGTTCGTACCTTAGAACATGGGACATGACCCTATTCGGGCTCCAACCATATCCTCAGGTTCGGTGGTTAGACCCCCCAAAACCCACCCCAGTCCCATCTTCTCAGGAGGTAGGCCAGGAGCCCTAGGGATTTAAAGACAAAGCAGCTACGACTAGGGCCCCATTTTCCGAACGGGTCGACTCCAAAACGCACAGGTGCAGAAGCAGCTTCGGTGTCGGTCTACAGATCCATGGCCTCAGAAGGTAAGACGCCAGACTGGGCCCTGGCGCCTACATATTATGGTCTCCCATCACCGAAAAAGAACACCTGCAGAAGGTATGTGGATCCGTGGGGTCTGCAGGTGGCCGAAGTTCGGTGGTGGAGGGATATCCTAACCGAAGAGGACAGCAGCGCCAGCGCCAGACCCGGGTGTCTTCACAGTGGAAGGAGCCCCAATCTGATCATAGCTGACCAGCTGACCAAAGCACAGGGTAACTGCTACTGTCATAGATGACCTTTTACTGTTGGTTGATTCATGGAGGGGATAGCCCCAAGTGTACAACCAATACCAGGACCTTCCAAGCCCGGTGGTTTTTGGACACCCCAAATCACCTCTAAGAGGCTATGGACATAGACACCTCGACTGGAAGGTGCTGGTAGGTGAATGGTACCTGGCACCGACCCCTCTTGAGAAGTACGGACATTCACTAGTTGCCGTAGTTGGCTTCGAGTGAGCGAGTGAGACGAAGGGCAATCCAAGCAACCGGCTCGGTCCGGTCCCCTCTCTTCGGTCCCGGTCGGCCTTCTTGCGCGAGTCCATGCAGTGGGCCTCAACCGGACATGCCCCAGTGGACCAAACCCATCGAGGTCTGTAGAGCCCCCCAGATCCCAGACCGAAACGATACATGGGATAGCAAAAAAGATAGGCCATAGGCCATATTTGGATCGAAGTCATCCTGAGGAAGATGTTGCATACCCAAACAATCCATGGAAGTACCGGGACGTCGACCCGTTCGTAGCTTGGAAAATAGGTATAGTCGTACCTGCTTGTTGTATAGGGACATGTCCCATGTTCTAAGGTACTTTGGAGGGTTTGGTTAAATCATGATCTACATTCACCACCAACAACCACCAGCCATGTAGGCCATATATTGGCCCTCATGGATCGTCTGGGATAGGTGTTCCATCCATTCACCGGCCTGCCAAGGGCCAGGGTGCTACGACTTGACCCACTGGGCCCTTGTGTTTCAACGGACACTGATGGCTCTGACACTGGAAGATTCGAAGACTATATAGTTACGGACACATGGAGAACCGTACCAAGGGTCCCAGTGGCAGGTGGTCAGCCTTCGGAAGGCTGTGTGGACCTAGCGGACCTCTAGCGGACCTCTATAGCGGACCTCTAGCGGACCTGCAACCAGGTGACTCCTTGGAAGCAGCTGGTACGAGTAGGTTGGAAATGGTGTTCCCAGCTTGAACAAAAAACAACGTAATTCATGAACCCCCTGAATTGGACTAGTTCCGGCCCGTTGAAGGACTCGGATTCAGGAAAGCCGCCATTCAGTTCTTCCGCTTGTTCAGCTTGGCAAGCAACATGCAGTACTGTGAACAATGAATTGATGAAAAAACAACAAATTTCAGTGTGCGATGTTCGACTAAAGACACTCTTTATGGATCCCATTGACTGAAAGGGTTTCATCCTCCAAAACTGTGAGGACATGGCAACCTTCTTATGCTGCCAGGGTACAACACATGCACAAAAACCGTCCTTGTGCACTGCAGCAAGAACGCCCCATCCCACCGCCCTGATCGCTTCGCTCGCCGCTCTTCCTCCGTTCAAGCTGGGCTTCGGTGGCCATCGTGCCGTGAATTTCAATGACCTTCCGGTCAGGTCAAACCATGCGGCGAGTGTGCGGGTCGACTCCCAGGAGTCCCAACCCGAAACAGTTCGTCCCAGCCACTTCATATGTAAATTGGATCTCAATTGCCATATTGGAACAAGCATTTGTTTCTGGTTGAGACTGGGTTTCCAGGGAGTTAAACGTCCAAGGTTGGTGCCTTTGTCCGCCGAAATCCGGCCGAAATCCACCCTCAACTAGTTTTCCCAAACATATACTATAGAACCATACAGTCCAGCGGGCACGCCAATACTGCCATTCGGCATTATCGAAATCCCACTGAACAGAGCCCCAAGGACAACCAAATGGCAGATGAACATATCGTGAGCACTATCGTGCGTGAGCTATGCAGCCGTTCTAAAACAGGGTCAGGCAAGGGCGCTTGCGGCGCCTCTTGATGGCCAAAGTGATTTGCCCTTGGGTCATCACCGCAAGTCGCATTCGCAATTCCACTCGTTATACACGCCACAAACACCACAACAGAGTGATCCACCGGGACCGATAGGAAGTCCCAAGTATGAGACGGAAACACTCCCAGCATCGCCATGCACGCCCCGAAGGAGCCACAAACGCATGATTAAGCGCTTAAACCGAGGTCACTAGGATAACCAGTGACCAAGGTCAAAGGACGTACGTCAGCAGAGAGCGAGAGAGACTCGGCCGCGGGGGTTGATAAGGCGTAAAAACCCGATTCAACCGGCACAAAAAAAACCGGGGTTCTTGATTGCAAATTTGCAACCCTCTATCTCCACTCAGGAGCATCCGAGCGCACTTCCTTAAGAGATTCGCTGGTGTTTTCCTTTGATTTTGTTTCCGACTGCATGATGCCAACTATCACATTGTCCTGCTTCGCGATCATGCTAGCCCGATCGTAACGTAAACTTGCATCCGGTTCCAAAGGTGCATTATCCAGCCACACGGATGTGCCATCAACCTGTCTCCGTCTTCTTCTGCCTCGATACCCTTTTCGCCCTGGAAAAACAGCGCCGTAAGATCAACCTTTGGGCGAATAAGGAATCATGAGGGTGACACAGCTGCAGTCTTAGCACATTGTGTTTTTCTTTTATAGTCCTGTCATGCCAATAAAACGACAAATGCTTAGTTTCTTCTGACATTTTTTTGCGAAGAACCAACAACCTTATGAAATCTTATGAAGGAGAAAACCAACAAAATTGGTTGCGCCATCCGTCAAAAACACTGCAACATCACTTGAAAAACAGCACGCTAAATGCTTCACAACAAATCCGCCGGCTGTAGCCGGCGTGTTCTGTGGATGTTCCTGTTGCTGTTGCTATTGTGTTGTAAGTCTTTCCCCTACGCGCGGATTTTTGCTACCCCCCCCCCCTTCTCCCCTCTACTATGTTATATTATACTATACATTGCATCCCTTCTCCTATGTTATATTGTCTGATCTGTATCTCTCTCCGAAGACTGTCACGAAACCTGCCAACTGAGGGGGGGAGGAGGCCAAAGATCCGCGCCCAGAATTAGAACTTGCAACAATCATTGGACAAACTTAAGCTTCATGCCTCAACCGACTCAATCCTGAGAAACTCAAGTTTCAGCACTCCGAGCAATTTGTCCTTTTTGGCCCACGCGTGTCCTTCTGTAGAGGCTTCAGCAGCAACTGCTTTAAAAACCGATGGCAATGTGGGGGTACTTAACCATTTGACATTGAACGCAAAGCCAACATAAGGCAAGGTCATGGCACATTTGGAACTATATCTGGGGCGCCGATGTGGTACAAAAACAAAACACCTGGCCACCCGAGGCGTACGCCCAGGCAGCTCGAGCAAACCATTCCCGCCACATAGCCACCAGGACGATGCTTTGCTGTCGGCCCAAAGCAACCGCTCGCTGTAGCTCGCACCCATTGCAGGTTTCAATTTCCAATGGAAAAAATCATCGGACAAACTGCGCTTCATGCCCCAAATGACTCAATCCTGAGAAACTCAAGTTGCATCACTGCGAGCAAGGCCCGAGGAGAGGCTTCATCACCTAACCATTATTATGTTGGACGCAAAGCGAACATAGGACAAGGTCATGGCACAGCCAATTCTCTGCCTCGCCTCACCAGGCAGATGCGGATGCACACACACCCACAGCAAAAGCAGATCAAAGCTTGTAAGTCTTCATGCGCTATACTTTCTTGAAATGTCCTCGGCGCCTGCCGGTCCTGCGCAACCGATACCACTGGCGCTTCCTGCTTGCATGACCAACTCACAGCTGCATGCAACACCGTATGCAGCGCAGCCTTAAATGCCACAGCCCCAAATGCTCCAACTGCCTCCTCCACATCCGAGGTGTAATGTGCCTGGGCCACGTGATCCAAAGTCTCATCCGCCACCTGCCCTCTCCATGAACAACCTTCAAAGGGACAGTGCTGCTCAACATTAGACCACCAAAACACGAGGTTTCCCTTGCGCCTGCCATGAAAACTGATCACCAAGTGAAAATGCGCACGGCACCACAACGAGAGCGTACCTCTGTCAAGCACAGTCCCGCAGCCAGCGCTTTGCGCGACCCTGCGCAGAGAAATTGCACTTGGAGATTTCAGCACGGAACTTTTCTGCGAGCCTGCGCAGACAAAACGAGGGCGCTCAAAGAGAGCACCCTGATCCAACCCTGGCTTTTACCATTACCGTAAGAACCCCTCAGTATGGACACACTGTTTGGGGAAAAACGTTTCCTTGGCAGAAACCTCCTCCTATGAATGAAGCCCAGCTCCCCCAGAAAAACATAGTTTACCATTATAGTTATAGTATGTTATAGTTCTTTATTATGTACTTTCTTTTTTGCTAATATCTATCTTCTGGTCCACTCATCCATCACTCTCATTGCTTCTCATCATGTTTTTTTATTATCCTTCTTCCGTGTCAAAACCCCAAACAACTCGCTAGCAATATTATTTCATGTTCCCTTATTAAAACTCTATCAGAATCTTAGGGTTTTCAAGCTCACAAAGGGTACCCTCACACAAGCCCTACTACACTCTAATAATAGGGGCCATTCCCCTATTAATCAAGCCCACCCGCTGGCCTCCATCTTGTCTTCCAATCTCTTTCATATCTTTCCAAATCATCCCAATCAAAGAAAGAATCTTCTCTTCAAATCTCTTTCATCTCTTTCCAAATCATCCCAATCCCAATCTTTCCTAATCTTGTCATCATCTCATCATCCATCATCAGGTCATCTTTATTAAGTCCAATCTCAAACCTTGTTGACCTTGAAGGGGTTGATTACTCCTACGTCACCATGGGAGGGACGCCGGCTTCCCACCACCATCCGATCCATTCAGGTCATCACATGGCGATCCAACAAGCGCCATAAGCCGTTGCGGAAGCCGTTGGGATCGCCCCAGAGGCGAAGTCATCCGATCTACCGTTCAAAGTATATAGGGTTGAATGCCTTTTATTCGGGCCATGTCCCGTGTTCGGTACGAACGAAGTCGAGTCCAGGGAGACTGTTTGGAGCAGGTTTTCTATGGGTGCTATATCTCCGACTAAGATGGAAGGGTCAATCATTGCGAGAAAACCTTTCGCTACAAACAAGGGTTTCCACCTGATGTGCGTCAGTGTGCGCTCTACTAAAGCTGCTGAAGAAGCAGGACTTGTTATCACCTAGACCAAGATTGAACTTCAGCCACTGCGTGCACAACAAAACACACAAAACATGGAAGTGGAACAGGATGGCTGTGAAAGATCATTTTCTTGAACCGCTTTCAAACATTCTCCATCATTCTCCCATTGCGCAAGAACATTCTCCGCGATCCGGAGCGGATGGTCCGGCCTTACTAGAACCAGCTCGTTGGTGCAACGAGTCAATGTTCCTCAGGAGTCACAGGCGACCGTCCCAGGCGACAGGAAGAAACGACGAAAAAACTGCCTGTTTATAGGTCACAGGTACTGTCACAGGTCTGGATTAGCAAGGATTTCCTTGCCTTTAGTGGTTTAAGAGTTTGACCAATGTCTCAACCACTGAAAACCCTGTCTGCTGGAATAGTCGTGACCGCTGACCACTGACCACTTAAAGTCGTGCCTGGAACTACCAAGCTATAGCAACCTGCGATGCCTCCGTGTGGGTCAAAAGAACGATAAATGCCTCGCCAAACACCCAACCGAAAGGATACTATAGTTGCCCTATAGCCTTCAGTTTGACCATTAAAAGAATGGTTGACCTGGTGGTGTAGTGTAAAAGCCCTTAGTACAACACTGGCTACAGTATTTGGTTTTAACAAATAAACATTAAAACAATGGTTGTTCGAATCGGATCCAGTGGGTGTCCTGGTTTGAGGCCTTTCAGTAGTGGGCTGTGCCACCCCTCCAGCTGACCCCAAACGGTGGCGCAGCTGGGTGACCCCCACATGCATCTGGTTTGGAGGTTAGGTTCATGGAGTTGATTCGAGTTGATTCGACAATGCCTGGAATCCAAACCCGAGGACTCTTTTTGTTGCTCAAGGTGACTCACGGTGCTGGGTTTGGGGAGCAGGTGCAGCTGATCGCAAGCACAGCTGAAACCCCTGGTGAACAGTGCCACACCTAGAACCTCAGTGATCTTTATCTTGGCTCACCAACCACAAAAAAGATGTCAAACTTCCTATTGACAGAGTCATGTCTGGGCTCTAGGCAGGTATATTCCTGGTGACCTCACACAACGGTCCACAGTCTATGTTGGTGATGGTGACATCCAGCACCCAACAGGGTGTCGGGAATCGACCAGGGTTTTTTCCCTAATTCAAATACACGGCCACGAACTTTTGAAGGTGGTCTATTCCTGTCCACAGTCTCTTTCGCAGCATGCCGACCTGCCAGCCGAGCCTCTGGGTGATCACCTGACGGTCAGTCGTTTGCTCAGACGTTTCAACGACCCAGTCAGGATCCCAGGCAGCGCTCTGGGAGGCCACTTCTCAAGCGGTTAATCCGGTAAAGGGATGGTGGGAGGGCACTGAATTTGCTTGATTTTTTTCGGACAAAAATGACTAGAAGATACCTGAGTCCACCTGTTTGTACCACGCAAAGTTGGTACTTAACATAGCTGGTACAAGCGGAAAATTGGTATACGTTACGTAGCTAGAGGGTCCGATCCCACCACCATAAGTGTCCAGACTTTGTGTCTGGGTGGAACCACTGCTTAACCTGGACGTACCACGACTCATTCGTACTCAGGGGCCTATAGGACCGGATGTTTCTGGTTCTGGTCATGTCCGACGCGTGGGCCAGATGACTCGATCCATCAATCGGTCTCCATGGGGTCAAGATCCCGGGGATGCAAAGCGCTTGGTGGAAGCGCTGAAGCTTGGATGTTCCGGTTCGGAAGCCGAAAACGGGTTAAAACAAAATAGACCTCACTTTGAAGGTCCTGGTAGATGTTGTTGGAATACCAAGCTCCAAAGAAGTGACGGAAGTTCCTTTGGAACGACCAAGTGACCCTTTGAAAAACGTCCAGGGAATGGTTCGGTCACCAACAGGCCTGGAAGGTCACAAAGGTTCCGAAGCTGGGTTCCGAAGTACCTCCCAGATGCTCCTGGACCCTCATATGCAGGCGTTGGACCCTCATATGCAGGGGTCTGGACCCTCAAATCCCTATGGTTTTGAGGGACCAAGGGCTGTTTGGAGCGTCTGGGCTAGACACAACTTCAAGGACCCAAGGTCCTATGGGACCACATGGCATGACCCTATTCAACTCCAGTTTTTTTCTTTTCCCCAGATCGAAGATGAGGGCTCGAGAAAATGAACATCCATCTTGGGTCTTGGGTCATATCCGATGTCCCATTCCCAGCAACAGTGGATGATGTTTCGTAAAAGCCTTTGTCTCTCAAATGGTTTAAAATTTTGTAACCAACTATTACAGCAGGTACCTGCTGTAATAGTTGGTTTATATATATATATATGAAACTCCCATCATCAGCTATTTACAGCAGGTAGTAGGACACTCCCATCATCCCTTCCCAAATGACCCCGCGCGACTAGTCCCAAGTCACGGTGTCCAACTTCCCCATCGACTCCTTAGCCAGCCCGAGCGCACCGAGCGGTGCGAAACGGACTGGACCGAAGGCGACCGACGTCCATGCCGAAAAGGTTCGGTGGGTAGACCAGGGGTGCTTGCCAGGGGTAGGGTCGGTCCCTAGCTTCACCTGAGGATGTGGGACAGCTGGGTTGAGGAGACTGGTCGAGGAGCTTGAGTGGTATGGTCACCAGCCCACGTGATTGGAGACACTGTTATGTAAGTGCCATTGTCGGGTCCAGGAGGATACCGAACCTGAGGAGGCACGACTGGATCGCTAGGGCCGCTAGGGTTTGCTAGATCATTTGATCCAACCAGCTGGGCTGGAGCCTTAGTTCGTTCCCAAGTCCATGGGACTTCACCCGACTTTGGAGATTCCAAGTACTTAAAGATGCCAGTTCCCTATATAGTATTATAACAACAGTGGCACTTGTACGGCACTTGTACCCAGGGTACGAACTCAGACTCCAAACACTTGCCCTCCCTTCTTATCCAACCTCCGAACGCCGCTTGGGCAGCCCAAACAGGTGACGACTGACACAACGTGACACCCTAAAACCCTAAACCCATGAGGACCATTGAGCATATAGCATTCTACAAATGCTACATGTGTTTGCGGTGTTTGTTGTTTAACATACACATAACATAATGTTAAAGCAACATAATGAATAACACAAATACTTCAAACACACACCGAATTGATTTTTTCAACACATCAAGCATGCCAAACCATTCCCACCCCGTCCCACCCTGGGCACTGTGTGGCACTATGTGGCGCTCGTTCCGCCAACAAGAAAAGCGCGCGACACTGAGATCAGCATACTGACAAGGCGTTGTACTTATAAGTATACTTATCGTACTTATACTTATAAGTATGATAACTATGTTAAGTCTACTTAGACCTAAGTAGTACAAGCGCGACCTAAGTCTGACCTAATTGTAACCTGATAGAACCAAGGTTTTTCGAAGAACCGGTCATGTATCGCAAAACTCAACAAAACGCAGGAAGGACATGGCGCGCAGAGGGGGGGCACACACTGCTCTATACCCGCGGAACCGGAAAATGCTGCAGCGGTGCGCATTCACTCCTAAACAAAAAACAAACCTCTGCTGCCAGGTGCGAGACAAACGCGAGACAAGGTGAGACAACACGCGACTATCCCGCCAGAGACGTTTTGCGGCTGCCGGATGATTACGCTCATTGGCGCGAGACAAACGCGAGATATGCGAGACAATGCCGAGTCTTTGCCCCGCCCTCCGGCGAGAGACAAATGCGAGACATGCGTCTGATGTCCCCAATCGCCTATAGCGGACCCAACAGCCCCATCGCAGGAAGTCTGCCAATAGTGTGTAGTCTTGTAAGCCCGCCCTCTCCGCCATTCTCCACTCTTTGAGCCGAAAAATCCTGCGGGTGCGCGGATGTCTTCTAAAAACATAGCGTTCTTAACTAGGATCTAAGTACGCTAAGTCCGCTAAGTCTGTTCTGTCTACTGAACGTCCTACTTATACATATACTTATATTTTACTTATAAGTGCAATGCATGTACTCTAACTCCAGAATAAGTATCGAATAAGTGCGATAACTTTTGTTGTACTTATCATACTTACGTCCATACTTATCATACTTTAACTATACATTATCTATACATATCCTTGTTATTTTATACTTATAAGTACGACGCCTTGCCAGTATGATTTTCATCGCAACTGACATGCTCCCAATGGTAGACGTCATTGCCATCAATAGTTCTAAGAAATGTCAAACCCACATTATCCGGCGTTATAAAATCCAAGCACCGTACCCAAAAGTGACATTGCCCATCCAGCAGTGCTTCTGACTGGCGGATCCCAACGGTCGAAACTTCTGCACATGTCATGTAAGTGACGAGTCTCAAGCTCCACAAGCGCTCGGTGGGCTGCATTGGGTTCCGCTTCTTTCAAACCCTCCTGGCGCTGCTGCAACAGCGGATCGATGCTCATGCCATCCGACGGATCGATGCTCATGCCGCGCAACGTGTCTGCCTGTTAATCCCTATGGATCCACATGCACTCTGAGAGGGTGATTGGAGACACTTCCTGTGTAGGCGAGGGAATCTAATCTATAAAACTACTCAAAAGGCCAACATGTTGCATAGTTGGAAGGTCCGGGTATATCTGTGTTGATTTTTCCAAGGAAGACCTGAGATCCCCAGCTAAGGGTTGAACCTTTGAAGTACCTAGAGCCCATGTTGACCTCTGTTTTGATAGGAAAAGACCATGTTGTGGGTGGTTGGTGATCCAAATAGAGGTCACTTCTATAGATAGATATACCTCTACGACTGGACGAAGTCTATAATAATGTTCTCAATGCCAAGGACGACAAATGTCCCAAACTATCTGATGACTCCAGGAGCGAAAAACATGACTTCCGGAGCTCAACGAAAACTCCGTTTGTTGGGAACGGGGAACAAATCAACAGTTCCTCAAAAGGGCAGGGTTACCCATATAGAAAAAAACCAAAAGATAACATTAAATTACATTAAGCAACACCCGGTGTTGCCCAACATAAATGTACGGTCCGACAGGTGTTATTGCTCTCATCTTCCGACTGTGCAAAATGTTTGCCTTTTTCATCTATAAAACTAGCAACTTTAGCCACAAGGTAGATGTTGCTTGAGACTCGCAATTCTACCGTTGATTCAAGACTGTAACATCAGTTGTTTTGCAGCAAACAATGTGCAATGGAATGGACAAAGAGGCAGCAAAGCAACATCATGAGCCTTGTTATATTTAACAGTTTGAGTTCATTCATCGAAGGGGATCTGATCATCGTCATTAGGCAAACAAAACAGAGAGTGAAATGAATTGCTGAGGCTAATTGGCGCATCTTCTGATGCCATTGCCAGCTGCTGTGTTGGACTTTGTCAAATGTGCAAATTAAGTCAAATATAATAGTTGAACCAGGCACTAGTCTATTATGTGAAAACTAACTATGACATTGGGCACAGTTGGCATGTTATTTTTCACATGTTCATACATGTTCCTTTCCACATCTTTCTCTCCAGCGACTGGATCGGATCACACCAACCAACTGGCGACCGACTCGCTCGGACGGAGGCGACGAGTTCCAACGGACGAACCGACTCTCGGACGACCGCTCGCCTGGAGGTGCAGTTCGCCCTGGTTCGCCAGATGCACCTCCAGGGCCAATTCACGGCCCATCTGCCAGAAGAGGTGAGGCTGCTCGCCTCAGGATGACTTGACTCGAAGAGGCAAAGAGGTGATTCGTCGGAAGAGGCGGAGAGGCGCTTCCCATCGCGCGCGGAGTCGAGACGGAAACTCGGTGAGATCGGGAAGATTGAGACGCTGCGGTTGGAGAAGAAGAGATTCCCAAATGATGGTGACAATATATGGCCTATACATTGACCACGGACTGGACTTCTCAGGGTATGGTGACAAGCGCTTGGTACTTAAGGATGTTGAGCCTGCATCCAGCAGTGGAAATCATGACGGAACTGCATCCAGTAGAAGCGAGACAAAGGGGGACAAAGGCAGACAAACCTGGAAATCATGAAGAACTAAGAACCCCATCGGTTGAAGCTGTTTGGGAACCAACAGGAACCATTAGAAGGGAGACAAAAAGAGACAAACCTGGAAATCATGACGAAACAGAAGCCGGTAGAAAGGATACAAAGGGAGACAAACCTGGAAATCATGACGAAACAGGATCCAGTAGAAGGGAGACAAGGCTAGGAATTATCACGGAGCTAAATGCAGTAGAACGGAAAAAGAAGGACAAGGCGTCAAATAGACATGGGGCTGGATCCATTAGAAGGGAGACTAGAAGGCAAATAAAGGGAGCCAAGGCTCCAAATCATGATCCATTAGAAGGGAGACAAGAAGGGAGAAAAGGGGAGACAAGGCTAGGAATTATCACGGAACTGAATGCAGTAGAAGGGAAACAAGAAGGGAGACAAGGCTTCACATAATCATGGAACTGGATCCATGAGAAGGGAAACAAGAAGGGAGACAAGGGAGACAAGGCTCCAAATCGTCACGGACTGGATCCATTAGAAGGGAGAAAAGAATGGAGACGAAGGGAGACAAAGGGAAACAAAGGGAGCCCCAAGCAGGCAGCAGAACTTGCTTGCCCACGTTTGACAGTTCCTGTAAAGGAATCCGTAGGGACGATTGTCGTAACCGTCGATACGAGTTTGGAGCTGTTCCGCCGTCACTTGTCCCACCGGCATCGACCCGAATACACCCAACGGAAAGTCAGGGTCACGCCTCGGACTCCATGGCCACTGCCACCAAAGCTCCATTCATGACCGTTCACTTCTATTCCCACGTGGCAAATGCCACATGCCAAGTATAGCGGGGAGCCCAGGAAGTAGCAATTGGCCACAGCCATGTGCTGTTCTGCAGCCTCGAGCTCTTCGACCTCCACTCTGGCTGCTGGCTCCAGCACGACTTGTGCAGCATCATCTTTCTCCTGCAGCTCATGTTTTGAATCTTCATCCAGCTGGGCGCACGAAACCCTGGAGGCCCCGATGGCTTTGATGAACACTTTGGCAAGGTATGCCATAGTAGATGTCATGATCCTTCATGGACCACTGATTGAAAACTCACTAAATCATCAGTTATAGAGCGAAAGTCGAGAAAACCACCGGTCTCCGGATGACAAAACACCCATTGAAATTGTTGATCATCTTCTTGACCCTTCAAGTAATTTCCGGAGGCCCGAGCACACACCGGCGCCTGACGCGGATCTGCAGGGGCAGGCTCTGCTACAGGGATCCTGCAGTCGGAAGTGTGACGTGATTTGCCTTTTCAGGCTACGTCTCCATACATCTTAGTTTGCTAGAAAGCAAGCATCAACGCTTAGCGCAGCCCAGCTGCTCGGTCCACTTCCGTTGGGTGTACACGTCTGCGACCGATCTTTGGGCCCAAATTTCAAAACTAAGCACCAAACAACTTCAGATTCATAAAACTGTATAAAACTAAACAAGACAGTTTTGCGATTGCTGCCCGAGGCGACCCACTTTGTCTTCGTTTAAAAGGTGAGGCTTCCTCACTGGTCATGTTCCCACACGGCAATGAGAGGGTATTCCTCCAAAACATCGGCCGCATGCTTGCGCACTTTGCTGGTGGTTGCCAATCGCAAAACTTCCGCGGCAAACATGCGTTTGACATTCCAATGGCTGGAGCACCAGGAGTTGCATACTCTTGGACGGACTGGGGATGAGGGAAGTAGTCAACAATTGAATGATCGCTTCAGGGTTGCTTGCCCACCAGACTTGGAACGCTTGTGCGCTCGCTGTGAAAATGCATTTCCAGCCTCAAGGCACCAACACTTTTGGGAATGATTTGGGGAAGTTTGGGGAACAACACAGTTTCGGGTCCACGATCCCCGCACCTTGAAATTGCAGGAAGAGGTGCAAGCGCTTGCTGAAGCTCTCCAACTTGATCTTTTCCTGATGTGTCTATCTCCGGCACGGCCATGATCACTGCACGCTTGCAAGACCTGACACATTTCATCCCTCCACAAATCTGCCAAAAAATCCAAAAAGTGCCATATCTTGCACGGCTTGGCAGCACTCAAGTGACGTCAAGTTGCCCTTGAGGTTGGACAAGTTCAACAAGTCGCCCGACAAAGGCCTGGCTATCGTGTAAACTGGACATGGAGGGCTTTGTACAGGTGAAACACTTTGAAACCACTTGCGCCTTGGCTGACCCGTTGGCGCGGGCCGTGGCTCGTTCAGCACACAAAACCCAGCACGTCCAAGTAAGACAATATGCGGCCCCTTAACCTCACAGAGGTATCAAAACGGAGTCAGCAACCTTGTGTGTCCAGCTTTGTAATCCGAGTCTTTTGAACCAAGGAACCCTGTAAACGTGTCCAAACCCGTAGGCTCCTGTGGATTTCCGCTTCGGCATTTAAAAGAGAATCAAACGGCGTAGATCTTTATAGATTACCACTATTCACTTGATTTGCGAGGCCAGAGGCCATTGTCGTACCAAGGATAATGGGGAAGATACAGGCAAGAAAATTACACCAGCATCGACCCCAAACAGCCTTTCTCATTAGCTTGACTATGTTGACTGCAACTCATGACCAAATTCAATAGGGAACCAAATGAAGACAAGCCTCCAAATTTTGGTGGATTTGGATCTCTGTGCTAAGTAATCAGAAGGAGGACAAAGGAACCAAAGGCAGACAAGATCCAGATCATGATTGAACTGGATGGAATAGGAAGGGGACAAAGGGAGACAAGCCACGAAACCTTGAAACGATGACAGAACTGTATCCAGTAGAAGGAAAAGAAAGAGAGGCATATATGGAAATCATGACGGAACTGCATCCAGTACAAGGGGGCAAAGGGAAACACAAAGAGACAAACCTGGAAATCATGACGGACATGGATCCAGTAACTAAGGAAGGCAAAGGGAGACAAACCTGGAAATCATGATGGAACTGCGCCTCGAGTTGGCAGAGTTCACCCGGTCTCTCGACACATTGGTTGCAAAGCCAGACTCTTCCGGTCTCTACAGCTCAGCACACGTTTGGCAGAAATCACCGCAGGAATCCGGGGCCCTTTGAAGCAACACAGAAAGGTTTCCTTCGTTCGGGTCCTTTTCCCACCTGCGCGCCGCTGCGCGCCCCGGGGAGAAGGTCCCACCAGAACGGCATGCCATCGTCATCGATGGCTGGGTCTCTCGGTCTTGAGCGGGCACTCTTCGACTCCACGTCATTACGGAGAAATGGTGCAGGTCGTCATAGAGGTTCTTCCAACGGGTTCCAAACACTGACCTGTCTGGAACTGGAATATTGACCTATATACATTGACCCCTCAATAACCACTCCATGGATGTTAGTCCCAAACAGGCCCTGTCTGGGAAAGAATGTGTTCTGTTCAAACCATCCTCAGGAGACTTGATCACATCGATTCCCCGACCCCAAACGATCCAAGGGATGGGTGGAGTTCGGATTTGGGTGGTTTTCACGCCCTAGGATTCGAACAAACAATATTGTTTTAATGGTCTGAATCCCAAAGAACCACCGTTTTACTATACGGGTTTTTAAACTACACCACCAGCTCTATCATTTTGTTACTTATACATGGATCGTCTGGGAAACACACATATTGATGCCACAAATCCCTGCTGCCACCAGCACCTTCCTTTCAGTTTCACCTGGCTGTTTCAGCCTCGCCGCCTGTCACATGGATCTCCAGGCACAGCCCGAATCACCCCACCCCAGTCCACTCTCACGGAAGGAAAACAACTCATGACTGATTGGCCATGTACTTGCCAAGCTGCAGAAGTGATTGTACTCACAATAGATCCTGGGATCATACTTCGACCATAGACCGCCTCTGATCCGATGCCAACGGCCAAAAACGATGACAAACATGGTGACGACCCGCCGCCTTGGGGAGATGTACTCACCGAACTAGTGACATGGTTGTGACATCAAGGTCTGTGCACAGTCGGATAATAACATGTAAGACACCTCCACTTACAACCACATCACACACCAACTCCATCCGTCAGCATGTTGAGAGTGAGTGCTTAATTGCTATACTTTCCTCATTTTAAAAAACTATATATGTTGTTTCGTCCTCGAATCTAGTGCTATCCAAAAGGCCTGCTTTTTCCATCAAAAGGCCAGATGCCAAATGATTGAAAAAATATATAGAAACACTCTCGGTTCACTCCAGTCTAATCCTTCTATCAACCAGTTTGTGTGCACCCGTGCAACCATTTCCATCTGTCCATTTTTCCTTTCCAGTGTCCGGTGCTTTCGGGTACTGAGTAAGGTACTGCTCACTGTTCCTTCCTTCGAGTTCCCACACATCGCCGGCCCAGAAGATCCTCGACCCGACTGCGACAGGTACGGAGCCGGAGCGTAGCTGTGCTGTTTGGTTCGCGTCATGCGGCATTTTGCTTGAAGATCTCGTTCGGGTATATATCTGATGACCCTAATGAAGCTACATCCGACGTACTCATTGTTCGACGTACTTTGAGACTGCATCAGCTTCATCAAAGTGGCCTATTGGGCGGTCCCATCCAATGACCGCACTTCCAGGCTTGTTGGTGACCTCAAAGCAGGGGATCCAATTCACTTTGAAGAACCAGGCACATCAATCGTGGGCATATCCCAACCTCCCAGGGCCCAGTGGATGATGATGGGGCCTGGTTGCTGGCATGTGGCCTTTGCATCTCTAAGATCCTAAAGCTTTTATTGACCGACGCCTCTACATGGTATATCATGGAAAAGTTTACCAACATACGAGGACCTTCCAATGGGTCACTAATGGACTATATACCCTCCACGATGGTTCAGGGATCTCCATGACCAACAGGATGGTTCAGGGAGGTTTCAGGGATCTCCCATAGCCTCTGTTTCAGGGAGACATGTCCAGGTCCAGACTCTCCAAACCCCCCCAAACCCGTGGCAGTGGCGTGGCCTGGGGACCGGAAGTCGGGGATGCCTGACTCGACCTGGGCGCAAGAATAAACGACCACTGGCAGCAGACGACCACTGGATTGGTTCAATAAGTACAGTATATAAGTATATACTGCCTCACATGAGAAACACAAGAAAAAAGGTCTGTTTTATACCAGTCACCCAACTCTACAGGTCTCCGAACTGGAGGCTTTTGCTGACCTAAAAGTCGCAGGTGGTGACCTGGCAGTGAGTCAGGGTGCTGGTGTACATCATTACTTACATTACTATATGAGGATTATACATCATTATACATCCAGATATGAGGAACAATAACATGTTTCTGAGTTTGCCTCAACCAAGGAGTCTTCATCTAAGTTCCCATCATTCCTATAGGTTTGTTTCTCTATAGTTTCTCCTGCTCTCAAGATGTTTCCCTATACCTGCCACTAAAATATGACCCTGAGAACTGCACACGCATTTCCACCAAAAACAACACCCATACCAAATTATGCTCTTCCCTCCGTCCAACTTCTGGTAACACATTTTTTCTTCAGCAGGCCTCGCGGAGGTCTGTGAACCACATAAACATCCGCAACTGAAAGAAGCATCCGCTGAAAAAGCAGGTTCGGGAAGCACGCCCGTGGCTCACCAATAAACGCCCGTAGCCTGTGTATAAACGCCCGTTCATATCATTAAAAAAAATAAGACAACTAAAGACACATCCGCAGACTCAAATGAACAACATATAAGGCCGTGACTGTCGGTGACTCCAACAGATGTTTGTCACGCCGCACATAGACAAAAATCACACCACTCTCAGAGAGAGCTATAGCCTATATACTCAGACACTCCATCTATGCCTACGACCCCCCTGGCACCACCCCAACTGATCGGCACAGATGGCAGTCCCATCAGTCGTGTCTGGGTATAGAGCTACATTTAATTGGTGAATCAACTTCGCCCGTCCTTCGCAGCTTCACCTCGCCGTCTGTCTGGGCCGAGCCGAGACGAGGCCGAACTCGGTGGAAGCCGCGTCACCGAGATCCCTGCACCAGTGAAGGCCGTCATGGAGCCTCGAGTGGTGGAAAAAAGGAGCCCGGTTTTCAACCAGTGAAAACGGTGGGTCGAAACGCGGTGGTTTCATGAAGGCCGTACTGGAATACTTCATGTGAATGGTGCAATTTGAATTTGAATTGTCTAATTTCCATAGAACATGGCCGTGCTGAAGAAATCCAGTTCGACTATACTTGGCACCAGCAGCAAAAATAGTAAAGGACATTCATTTAAAGATCATGGTTGAATAGTCTTGCACTGCCAGCGCATGCTTGGAATGTGTACGTTGATGCCCCCACCAGTCCAAAAAACATGAAACCCGTGTACTCACGTGTACAATTTCCCGGCTTTACAGGGTCATGTCCATTTGGAGTGAGACCGGAGTTGGGATCCGGTTTGCTGAAAGTCTTAAGGCTTAAACACTCAAAAGACTTTGCTCTGAGCGTCCAGGGCCGCAACAAATGGTCTGACATGTGTAAGACATGTCAGAAACCATGTTGTCTTGAAGTATGTTGTCTAGCTCAGATCCCTCCAATGATCTCTTTTCACCTCCAGTCTTTGGTCCAACCACATCGACGTGCGTTGATCGCCATTGTCTCAACGAGCCGTCGTGTCGTGGTTCATGGGTTCGAGCGAGCCACGGTTGGAGAGCTTCTCCCCACGAATTGCTTCGTGAAATGTGTGGTGTAGAAGAAATAAGGAGCCAAAGACCCCCTGGGAAAAAAAGGAACAAACAAATACGTGAAAATACCTAGACCCTGAAAAAGTTCCCTAGAACATGGCACATTACCCTTAAAAACAAAAACGTATAGATTAAACATATACAAACAATAGGCACTTGATGGTACTTGTACCCATTTTTCCCAGGTACTTTGAGACTCCAGGTAGATTCAACATGCGTTGGGCAAGGGGGGTCTCGCTATTGAACATGTCGACACCCAAACGATGTTTCGCCGTGGTGCTGCTCTTGGCAATGACATCGGCCGCAGCCTGCAAGGAACGCTCCAGGTCGTAGCCCCGCCTGGCACCGCGAGAAGGTGATTGATTGGTTAATTGGTTGGTTGGTTGATGGAGAACGGATGATGGTTTGTGAATGATGCCGTTGATGATGATAATGGTGGTGATTGTGCTGCTGCTACTGCTGCTTCTGATGGATGATGATGATGATGATGATGATGATGATGAACACAATGCCGATCGATGATGATGGATGATGATGAACATGGGTGATAATGGAGGGTGATGATGATGAACACTATCATGATGAGGTTGATGTTGAGGTTAAGGCTCATGGTGAGGTGGTGTTGATGATGGAGGTGCACAATCATACTGCAATGAATGCAATGATTTAGTATGTTGCTTGGCCATGTTGGATTTGGTGATATATCCTATAGTCAGCGAAGCCTCTAGTTTCATCAATCCTCATGAAACAATGTGTATTTGATATATCTAATATCACCATCCATTAATATGCATGTGAAATTCTAACTTTTTGGAACCTTGGATAGTTTTGGAACCTTGAATGCAAGGAACGGAGCTAGAGGAGATTCATGTGAATGATTAAAACACAAACTAGTATCCGGGGATAAAAACCAGAACAAGGGCCAACCTAGCACAGTCATGACAATCAAATCCATGCAAATGCCCGCGGTCAGTGGCAGTGAAGGGAAAATCACATGATCCCTGGTATCCCAGAGCTGCAAAGGTGGGCAGGCACCACCCGCCAGCAAACACGCAAGGAACAACACCTGGAGCTAAAATGTTCGAAATGTCACGCATGAATGGTTAGCTTGCGCAAAAAATACCCGTTTCTGAAAGACGACATCTGAGTCTGAGACGGACAACAACACGTACCACATATGATCAAATAACTTGACCCAGTTCGGGCTACCAAATCACCAGTAAGTAAACCCGCAACCAAGTGTTAGAACGCCGCCGCCGCTCATGTTCACTCCGCTCGTTTTCGCCCTCGCCTCATGGGGTCCGCCAGCTCCGCGCGGCTCAGGAATCCACCCATGGCGGCGATGCGTCGTTCCACCACGGGAGGTTTCCCCAAACGGAAAGAGGCTCTGGCTCGATGTCTGGAGAAGATCGACTGGGAGAGCTGAGTGGTTTCAACTCGGTTCTACATATGAGGACCTGTGGGATCTTCCGAAATCCCAAAGATTTAACATGTTTAACATACCTAGACCTTCTAAATCTCAAGATATTTTGGTCGATGTTGTTTGCATAACTTTTTCTGGTCGATGTTTCAAGAAGTGGACGAATCAGTCGAATCACACCATGCTCAACCCAAAACAAGGCGTTTGGTAAAAAACTGTCCGCCCCCTTCCTTCCTTTTCCCTTCACCACCCATGCGGTGATGTGCACTGCCCTTGCGGTGATCTCCGTGCACAACAGCTGCCATGAATGCCATCAGAGCTGGCCGGGTGACTCAGTGACCCAACCGCTGGTTCAATCCTCTTCGAGGTTATTGATAGCATTCCTGAACTGTGTCTTATACATGCCGAGTGCTTTTTGAATGCACCGATACGAGGATCTCAAAGGGTGACACGTACGTGAAAGCCGTGCTACCCGGCCAATGAAGTCCTCGTCGGACCAGCAGCTAAAGTCTTGGTTGCACGTGTTTCCAAAAAAATAACATCCCCAAAGAAACCACAAGCACCACCAGTGAGGAAAGCATTGTGTTGTTTCAGCTCAGTAACTTAAAGCTGAGAATGCAACAGGTCCAGATTGAGGTCCCATCAGCAACAGCAAGTGATGTTGCATGTGCAGCTTTGGACGAAGCCGGAAGAGCTTCCATCCATGGTGGTAACACTTTGCAGCCATATGCCCATAGGCTTCCTTCGAGGCAGAAACAATCAGAAACACATATGTTTGAGGCTGACATGTTGAACCCATGGATGCATCTATATGGTAATGCTACCACTTGACAATGAAGGTGCTACAGCTACAGCAAAGCAAAGAGGATCTATCGGAATCCAAGAGTCACACATTTGCTGACCGACATTGAACACCAATGATTTCTGGGGTTCATGAATGAACACACCACACTGTCTCAAGACTCTGAAGAAGAGGTTGCTGGTCGCCACAGCAAATCGGAAGCCTTGCAAGAACTCATCGTTGCTGCAATCCTGGGTCGAAAGCTGGCTCCCACAAGTCTCAATGACAACACCACTATGCCATCAATGGCTGGGCTAAGATATTGATTTCACGATCGATAACTTTCACCGCTTTTTTGACCAAAGACCTTGTTTTGGGTTGAGCATGGTGTGATACGACTGATTCGTCCATTTCTTGAAATATCAACGTACCAGAAAAAGTTATGCTAAACAACATCGACCAAAAGATTGAGATTTAGAAGGTCTAGGAGGGTCAACTCCATCCAAGAAGGACTCCATCCATTGCAGTACCAAGGCAGTGTCGTACGCCTTCGAGTTCGCCGAGCCCAGCGATGTAGGCCAGTCATTCTGCCTGGGGTGGCCAGGTGCTGCTACTTGTACGATCACCCGAAATGAAACCTGAATGAGGTATCTTGAAATCAAAGCTTTCAAGTAAAGGCTTTATAAACCAATATGGCCTAGGTACGATGACATGTCTAGCTTCTTGACAGACCACCAAGAGACACCTGTGGTCTTCTTGTTCTCAGAACACCATCTTGTGAAAGTTCTGTATGCACATTGCAAACGTGAATCCAATGAAGCTGCCCCAAAACATCCTCTCTTTGCCAAAAGCACCAAACCAGACGCCGCCAAGTCGATGCCCCATCCCAAGTGGAAACAATGGCATGAATCCGGTAAGATGCCTTCCTGCCCCATCCCTGGAATCTGGAGCATCGGAATCTCATCCGTATCATACCAGTAAGGCGATTTGCTCCTTTGCGCACCCAAAGTACTGCGCCATGGGGCTTCCATTGACATGTTCTCCCACTCGGTGCCATCACACAAGTGACACTTGTCAATACAGTTGAAGCCACAGTTCAACTTGAATGCCTAGTGTTGAGATAGGCATAGCCCTTTAAAGTTGGTTCACACTGGTGGTTTGTCAAATTAGCACGAATGGATCATGTCTTTCAACCCCAAATATCAAATGGATTGCTCGCTCATCACCAGGGCACCTTTCTCAAGTACACCCAATCTCCTTTTGTTCCCAGGCAGACCAGCCTCAAGTTGAAGCCATCAACCTTAGAGGCGTGGCAGCAGGGCCAAGCAATGACCACTTAGCCCCAAAAAGACATTTTGCGGGAGGAGTTGAACACACAAACATAGAGTTAACATATTCCTGGATGAGTTCTCAAAGCTACAGTGATCCCTTCGCGATAAAGATCCGTTGCGTCCCGAGCAATGAAACCATGAAGGTCATCAAGGGTATGTTCTCCGTCGAAGAAATATGAAGAGATACATGTAAGCAGAAAACGCGTTGTCATGCTATGCCTTACCAGGGTGAAAGGTTTTTCATCGGAGTAGGAAAGAAGGTCTTTTCATTGGAGTCCTAAGTCTCAATTAACACTTAATTGTGAACAACATAGCCCAAGATACCCACTCTCGTTGATTTTGTCCAACCCTTTGTAGCTTATCACCGGCTGCCATGACTCCACCATGAAAGGGCGTCTGCAATAGCCACGCCCCTCATCACCATGGATGAAGTACGGAATGGCGCACGCAATCGGAAAGTCACCCAGCTCTTGAAAGATGACATGGTTTGGGTTGACCATCCTGTAGGAGTCCCAAAACGTTGTGAAGACCTGCTGCCATCCCACAAAGTCTGAGAGCTCGTGCCCCGCCAAAAGCATTTGGGGAGTGTCTCTCAGTAGACAGCGCACCCAATCCCGCATGCGAAGGAAAGGCCAATAGATCTGCTCAGTTCGATACTGGGGTCTTCTAAAGGACACTCGTATCAGACCACAGTCAATCGGAACTGGAAATAGCACATTGTTTCGGTCAATCAAGCGATGCAGGTTTCTACACGCATTCTTCTTTGATTGGCCAGCTCGAGCAACTTTCCACAGAAGGTCGGCCTTGGGACCTGCACGGACTCAAACCATAGGGATCATGCATTCTGGATCATGCATTCTTCCATTTGAACTGACCAGGAGTGAGGTCATGTCAAACAAGTATGGCTTGAAAACACAAACCAATGATGAAGTTACCAACACCAGTCCTTTCTTGCGAACACAGCAAATCATCTTTGCCAGCTTCGTTGCCCTGTGAGCAGACTCTGCCTTGGTGCAATTATGGATGTTGTTGGTATTCCTGTTGCATAATCTTTGCATGGCAAGGAACGAAGCCCAAATCCCCACGTAAGTGTATCCATGATACGTATTACGTTCATCTAGGTTCCATGCATATGAGTGACTGATCAACCTGGAGCTGTGCAACTTGTGAATGAGCTTCTATAAATTTAAATCATTATCAAGCTACACCTCTCAGATAGTCTGAAAACAGTTCGAAGGCGAGGTCAGAGTCAACAGAATCATCATCTTGACGATCACCAGGAAGTCGGCCTCACAAGACTCATATATGCATGTGCATGTTTTATTCGGAGCTACAAGTACTGCCAATTTTCTAGTTCGTTTGGGGCTCCGTTTTGGGGGCGAAGGGATATACATATATATATTGCGCCCCCGACCTAGGACCGTACATAGATCCCTTCGCCCCCAAAACGGAGCCCCACGCAAAAGGGACATTTATCAACATGCAAGTATACAGAACCGGTTTGAGAGGCACACCTATTGCCCCCGAAGAACGCAGGTGGCGCAAAGCACCAGCACCTGGCAGTCACATCATTGAGATAATATGAAAAACTGCATCGAAGAAGATGGTTTCTGGCAAACGACCCCATCAGCTCGTGAGTGGTTTGTAGTGTTCAAAAACCACATAAAACCACCTGTAAGTCCAGCAATACACCATTGTTTCCCCGAGCCAGGCTGAAATCTGTGGGACGCGCGCCTCACGAGAGGCATCCCGGGATCAATGGGTGGCAGGCTGCAGACTCCCAACTTTTCTCAGATGGTTAGACTTCAGTGTGATCAAACATTGCAATCAATACAATCCTTTCAGGCTTCAGCTGGGATCTGCCCGATTGATAAATGCCACCATGCCCAAAAAGCAACACTGTCGTAAGCTACTTATGCTTACGTCTTTTCTTGACAACCACAGCTGCAGTCGCAGTCTCATTTGACTTGCCATGCTTCCTCTTTTTGGTCTTGGTTGAAGGCTGTGTTTCAGCCTCTGCAGCCTGATTCTTATTTTTCTTCGCACGCAAAGAGGGCCGCGATGGAGCTGACCTTGCCTTTGGAGCTTTGGGCGCTTTCACCGTCCTGACAAAAAAAGAATCCCAACATCAAAACTAGGGGCATGTAGGACCAGTCCTCGCTCGTGACAGCAGGTTGTTCATCAAGACATCCAGCTTGGTGCAGGCAATGTAGAGCTTAGACAGCGAGTCTTTCGTAGAACTGCCAGGCATCGGACCAATGCTGCAACAGATGAGCTTTCTACTGACCAGGCCTGTCAGGCACGGAGTCGGCCATCAAGGTTTGCTGCATAGTCACCAGTTCATTGTACCTCTTGTCCATCTCATCGATTTTGGCCTGGATCTCGTCAGCTAGCCTCACCATCGATCAAATGAACATGTTTACAGACATGTGACATGGGTCAGTGGTCAATGAGGTCAGGACGATGCAGCTCGATCCACCCCTATCTTTCGTAGAGTCTCCTGTGCGCCACAAAGCAGTTGAACTAAAATAGAATATATGATCCATATGATATATTATATAGATCTAAATATCCCCGTGCACACTTTCCTGTGCGTCTTCAGCTTTGGAAATCTTTTTGGCCACACCCTCAATGAAGTTTGGGAGCAAACCTGAACATAGCTTCGAACAGAAGCATCACTGAATGTACATGCCGCTTGATCCTACAAATTAAGTTGGGCGAATCGGCATAAGTGCATGGAAGAAGCTGAAGGGACATTGATTAGCTTGCAAAGATGGTAACGTGTTGAGTTTCGCATTTGCAGGTGTCTGGGATGAGCTGACTTGCTGAGCCCACGTGCCGGCCACGCTGTCAACGCCACCATTCCTTCATGTCGGGGCCCCAAAAGCATGCGAAAGTCCACATATATATATATTGTACATACATGAGTTCATGTCATTTAACATCTCACGCAATTCAAGTGAAATCGATAACAAGTCAAGTCACAGCAAACCATGCAAGTCGGTTGGGTTGTCAAGTAGCTCTCCAGTCGAATCCTTCCCGCTTGCGAACGGGTTCCGTGCCAAGAAAACTAGTTACAGTATCGAACAAATGCTTGAAATCACATGAAGTTGGGGTCCTGAGTTACAAACTCAACACCCGAAGTAATGGATTGTCGATCCAACTGCTTGTGCTCAAACTCTCTGTGAACTGGAATCCGCCATTCATCTTCACCATGCACCTCGCTCTTCACAATAAGATTTCTGGCTAAGGCCCACTTCTTGCTGTGATCGATCATCTCCTTCGGCGCTCAAGGCAGGACGGGTGATTGTACAATGGAAGGACAAACAGAAAGCCACTACAAAGATCTACAAAGTACATGCCTTTAACATTGCATGCAGCTTGGAAACTGGGTCCAACCCTCTTTCTCAAGGCTGACTTGTGAATGCCACCCCCCCCCGCAAGGTGTTGGACTGTTCTTCCACATGCATCTTTTGGACATGAACTTCCACACGCTCGAAAGTACCATGTTCCAAGAGCAGTTTCCGCAGTGAATCTCCTAAGTTTGAGTCTCAAGTGATCAGATATTGCGTGCGTGTCATTTTCAACGTCTTTACATGTTCCATGTTGTGCACACACACATATCTACACAAGTGATTTAAACCAAGTGGCTTCCTTGTTCTGTTTTGAACATCTTCAAAACATTTTCACTTGCCTTCACCTCACCTTTGGCATTTGGTTTCACATAGTTCCGGATCCTGAGCTGGTATGAGCCGGTCATATATATTTGCTATCGCTGTATCACATCTAGTTTTAGATGCTTTCAGAGGGTCTTCCAATAGGTTCCATCTTGGTACTTGTTCTTCTGAGTGGCCGATTTTGGGAGTGCGCTGGGGCTGGCTGCACTCTGTGCCTGGTCGCCTGGTTGGAATATCTTGGCTGGAGGGCACACTGCTTGTGTTGGCTCTGCAGGAGCATTACCTGGTTGAGTCGGCTGTGTAGGTGCGCTGGCTGGAGGGCTGACTGCAGGCGGCTGCGCAGGAGCACTACCTGGTTGAGTCAGCTGTGTATGAATGCTTCCTGGAGGGCACACCGCTTGAGTCTGCTGTGCAGGAGCATTGCCTGGTCCAGTCGGCTGTGTGGGTGCGCTTGCTGGAGAGCACACTGCTAGGGTCAGCTCTGCTGGAGAATTGCCTGCAGGTGGAGTCAGCTGTTCAGGTGTGCTTGCTGGAGGGCTGACTGCAGGCGGCTGCGCAAGAGCATGGTTTGGTTGAGTCGGAGGGCACACTGCCAGAGTCAGCTCTGCAGGAGGAGCATTACCTGCACTCGGCTGTGTAGGTGCGATGGCTGGAGGGCTGACTTGAGTCGGCTGTGCAGGAGCATTACCTGGTTGAGTCAGCTGTGCAGGCATGCTTCCTGGAGGGCACGCGGCTTGAGTCTGCTGTGCAGCTTGTGCTGGCTCTGCAGGAGAATTATCGGCAGGTGGAGTCACCTGTTCAGGTGTGCTTGCTGGAGGGCTGACTTGAGTCAGATGCACAGGAGCATTGTTTGGTTGAGTCGGCTCTGGCAGCGGCAGTGGAGGCGTGCTTGCTGGATGTGCAGGAGCACTACCTGGTTGAGTCATTTGCGCACTCCCTGCAGGAAGGTCAACTGCTGCTTGAGTTGGCTGTGTTGGGTGCCCCACTGAGCCAGTGGCAGCTGGATCTTGTGGTGTGCCAGTCTGGAGA